TCTTAGAGTCCCTTCTAGGCCTCTCTCAAAGGGCCAGGTCACAGGACCTATTTCAAGGGCATCTATCTCCTACCTAGATCCCACATTTGGAGGACAGTGCTCATTCCTCCACAAACTGTCTCTCTGCAGACAAAAAATGCAGGTCCAGCAAGGCTGGGGCTCAGACCAGGTCCTTCACCAATAGGTCAAATGGGGATTCAGTGGTTCCTGCAGCTGCTCACCTCACAGGACTGCAGAGGGCTGGGGCCTTCCAACCACAGCAAGAGAAGGATAAGGCCAAAACTAGTGAACAAGATGGGGGCCAGAAGGTGGCATGGCACTCTCACGTGATTAATTGTGGTTTGAGTCCCAGATCTGGTGGTTTGAAAATCACACTGGGCACGTGTGCATGCATGCCCAGAATCCCAGAGAAGAATGAAGGAGAAGGGATTTCTCTCACCCCTCTAGGGGGTGATTTCTCATTTTCTCTTTCTCTGTCCCTCTCAGGCAAGTGTATATGCCCTATGACAAAACCCAAAAGAAAAAGATGGAGGTGACTATAGATTAAGAGAGACCCAAGATGGATGGATCTTTGGGCAGAAGAACAGTATAGTAAAAGGTTCATGGTAGAATCTAGATGGCGAGTATACAGGTAGTCACTGCAAAATTATTATTATTTTTTTTGGAGGTTTTTGCTAAAGGGTACATGCGCTTGCCAGAAAGACAGAGAGAGAAAGAGAGACAGAAAGCAAGAAATCACCCCCCCCAGGGGGGATGGCCACACCTCAATCCCTTCTCCTCCATTCTCCTCTAGGGATCTTGGGCACGCATGCACACGCGCCCAGCGTGAGTTTAAGCCACTGGGTCCAGGACTCGAACCGTGGTTGACTACATGGGAGTCCAGTGACATAGCCATTACGCTAACTGCTGGTCCCACCGCAAAATTCTTTGATCTGTGCTGTGTTTGAAATTTTTATAATAAAATGTGAGTGGGCTGGGGAACCCAACCTAACATCCAAATGCAATGTGTGGCCTTATTTGGATCTTGATTCTATAAACTAACTGTAAAATTCAATTGATAGATTTTTTTGAGATCTAATAATGGTATGGTGGCCACATTAAAAAAATAGTTTGTATTTAATAAATCATACCAAAATTACTGAAGTAGGGGGAATGGGTGGGGTATAGCTCAGACAAGATTGTTCTTGAGTGAATAATCAAGATGGTTATATGAGATTCATTCTTCTATTATTTTATGATTTAAACATTTTAATAATAAAGGGTTTTTAAAATTTTTTTTTTTAATTCTAACTATTTGGGGAGACGGCAGGTGGCGTGGGGGTTAAGGGCACTGAACACCCGCATGGCCAACCATAGTTAGAGGCCTAGACCTGGCAGCTTTCTTTCTCACTTTCTCTCTCTCTCTCTCATTCTGTCTCTCTCTGGTCAAATTTGAAATAGATGAATGAATAAATAAAGTTAAATAAAATAATTCTTTAAAAAAAATTCTAACTACCTGGATAGGCTATTTGTTTTTATATGAGCAAACTCAAGCATAGCCAGCTCTGCTCTGGGGTTTCCCTGCTCCATCCTGACCAAATCTAAACCGGATGTGAGTTTGAAGAAAATGTAAAAACAGCAACTACCTTCCCCTTGGGTGTGTGGTGAGGAGCAGCCCTCTTCAGACAGGAAAACATTATATGGCTTATTCTGCCTAAGCATCACTTGCTCTTTCACCCAACAAACCAAAAAGAAGCCCCCAGAGCTCACCCTTCCCTTTTGGTTCCTGGAGTGGAATCTACATTCTGGAAGCCACTTTGATTTTCTGGAGGAAACCTCAGACAAAACAGGGCCTCAAGGCCTCAGTAAAATGGGGTTCAGCTTCCTCCATCAGTAACTTCCTCCTCTTTCTCAAATTATGTAACTACTGAAACTTTGGGCCACTGACTCTAAGAGTCTAACAGACCAGGTGGGACTCTAAGAATATCCCTCATGGGTTGTGGGATGATCAACACTAACACCCAAAAAAACAGGCTTTCTCCCAATTTCTCAAGTGATCAAGGAAGCCTACAGAGAACCAAACTAGTAGTCAATCCAAAAAATGCTCTGTGTGTGGGCTTTGGGAGTCATTTGTTTTCTTTCTCGTCTTTAGGCATACATGTATGCATTGTGTATGTACATACATGTGTGTTTGGGGGACAGCATGTCTGTATTTAGCAATGGGAGAAAAATCATTCACAGAACCAAACCCCAAAGCCAGCAGTCTGTCACTTTGTTCTCCTCAGTTCTCACAGTGGAGCCAACCCAGCCTCCATACCCCTAGTTCTGTCAATAGCAGACTTGAGGGCAGGGACTCGGGCCATACTACACACACATACACATATGTAACCTCTCTGGACCTCAGTGACCTAATGTTTAAAGTGGAGATAAAAACTCCTGCCTTCCTCGCAGTGTTGCTTACAAAATTTTAAAAAATGGAGAAAGCACTTTATAACCACACCATACCATTTATAACCTATCCTGTGCCAGTGTTCTCAATGATGTTCCATAGAATATGGCCAAGGTAAGTTTGAGAAATTTAGTATGCATTTCTTTTTAGTTTGCTATAGGTCACATGTGCTTATGGGGGAAAGAGAGAGATCACCACCTGGGGGAAATGGCCATGCTGCAGTCCCTTCTATTCTCCTCTCAGGATTTTGGGCATGAGCACATGCACATATCTGGTATGCTTTTTTTTTTTGAGAGGTTTTTGCTATAGGGCGCATGCACTCGCCAGACAGAGACAGAGAGACAAAAAGTGAGAAATCACCCCCCCCCGGGGGGGTGGCCACACCGCAATCCTTTCTCCTCTCGGGATCTTGGGCATGCACACACACGCGCCCGGCGTGAGTTTTAAGCCACCGGGTCTGGGACGCAAACTGTGGTCGACTACATGGGAGTCCAGCGACACAGCCATTACGCTAACTGCTGGTCCCCTGGTGTGCTTTTTTAAACCTCCAGGTCTGGGACTTAAACTGCATAGTCAGCCATGTGAGATACTACTGCCTTAACTACCATGCCACCAGCTGGCCCAAACTGTGGTATTTATACTCTAACCTGGACTTGCACAACATATGCAAGTGAGCATATAAAGGCTCTGAGAAGTCCTACAGTTAAAAAAAAAAAAAGTCTGTTTTCCATCATTACTTCCAATTAGTTTTTTGAGTTGCCAAACTCTTTCTCTCTGAGATATCAAAAATTTTCTGCTCAATCTCCTTCCCTAAGACTGCAAAAGAACAGAGTAGGAAATATGGCCCTGTATGGAGGGAGGCTCCGGCTCCTGTCCTGGGACCAGCATGTTTCTCTGTAGTGCCGGCCTCGCTCAGATTCTCATTCTTCACCTGGGAACCAATGCCTTCTGTGCAGGTCCATTCTCATTCCCATCTCCACCTGCCCATCCTCCAAAGGAGACCAGGGGGAACCTGCAGTTTATCCATTCTGCTTTGGAAAAGTGGAGCTCACCAGCTTCTCCCAAATATATACCTGTAGCTCTGATCATGGCCCTCATGGCCATGCTCACATCTACCTCAAAGTCTCAAACAAACGGTCCATCCGACACTTAGCCCACTCAGCAGTCTTCCTTCTCACTGGCTAGTACAAGTTCTGGCACCTCCTTAAAACCTTGGAGTCTTGGGACCAGCAGTTAGTGTAATGGTTACGTCGCTGGACTCCCACGTAGTCGACTGCAGTTCAAGTCCGGTATTCAAACCCCGCAGCTTGCGGCGTGGCCATGCCCCCTGGGGGAGGGGTGATTTCTCACTTTCTGTTTCTCTGTCTCTCCCTGTCTGTCTGGCAAGCACGCAAACGCCTTATAGCAAAAAAAAAAGAAAAACACCTCTCCAAAAAAACAAAACCTTCAAGCCTTCCCCACAATTGGCCTCTGCTCACCCCTCCCTATGTGCCCATCCATTCTGAGGAATAATAGTGCAGATGGTTTAAAGGGTGTACACAGAAACCTGGGTTCAAATCCTGATTCCACAACTTAACAAGTTACTTAACTTCACCATGCTTCAGTTTCCTTATCTGTAAACTGGCACAAATAAGAGAACTTGCCTCATGGGGTTGTTATGAGGCGTTAATGAGTTGATTAAAGTGCTTAGAACAGTGTCTGGCCCACAGTAAGCTAGGTAAGTGTTGACTATTACAATTATTATTATTGTTTTGTCTCCCCCACAGAGCCTTGGAGGCTGGGCAGTCTTTACAAACTTTTAATACCTTTATTTATTTATTTAGTCCCTGCACCCTTCCACAAAGGCTCTTAAGTATAAGAAGCTGTGCCCCCCCCCGGGGGGGGGTGTACAGTGAGGTCTCTCTAGGCTGAGCTGAAGGCACCAGGAATAGGATCTGAGGTTAGAGATTGGGGCGGGGTATTCACCACTGCCACATCAAGATGCTCTCCTGTCCCAGCTACAAGAGCCCGGCCCAGCCAAACCAGCCCTACCGCTAAAGCCAGGGCTGGATGGGCTCCGAATTCACCACAGATGAGGAAATTGAGGTTTGGCAGGCCTCTTCCCCACTTCTCCACCGTCCCACCCTGGTGTTCCTCAAATCCTGATGCGTGCCTGCTCTACACGGAGCTGTTTTTAACTTTGCTTGGGGAAAAGAAGGTTGGGGAGAGAGAACAGTCTTCACCTAATGGAGAATAGGAATCGCTTCTCAAACCAGGGTGGCGTGGGAAGTGCAAGAGTCTAGTCCATGAACTGATCTGAGTCGTGCAGACACCATTTTACGGTAGACAGAGTTACCCACATGATCCTAAAGGGCAGAGAGCAAAAGTCGTTTCTGTTCCTTTCCAGCACCTAATCTGCATTTGCTTTTTCTCGTGGGACAGAAGACCTTCCTAACTATCCTGACTACTCCTAAGATGAGCACTGCGGGAGAGCAGGCGGCCGTGGCCAGCTCGGGACGGTCGGGGACCGCTTCCAGGAGGAGGTGCCTTTCGCGCGCTCGCTGCCGGTGAGCCAGTACCTTCCCTCACTCACCGGTGTCCAGAGAGGTGAACGCGGCGCTCGGGTTGGCTCCGCCCTCCGCTGCCGGGCATGCCCAGCGTCTGCAGCTGCCGGACCAGCTCAGGCATGCGGTCCCAGTGGCCTTCGGCGCGGCAGCGCTCCAGCTCGCCCTCCACCTTCAGGTGGGTGCCGTGCGCGCCCTTCGCAGCCATCTTCGTGCGGGCGCTGTCATGGGTGGTGCGGCCGAGAAGTGGAGACCGGGCCGGGGGCGGCGTCCCGGCTGAGGCGCACTCGCGGGCGGGGTGGACGGGGGAG